AAAGATGCGTAACTTAACTAGAAACAGCAGCGTTAGGGCCGGAACAAAATTGGAAGAAGCTACACTCTAAATCAGAAAGATCTGTTTTAGCCCTAAAAACAGGGCCGTTTCGGTGAGTAAAATACAGTCCTATTTTTCGGTCTAATTTGTCTCCCTTAAATCAGGGCCAATACAGTCCAAATGGCTCCAAGAAGGGCTGAGTCAGACTTTGGCCTGCAGGGCTGAATTGACACTTTGGGGCTGAAACAGATCTTTTTAATTTACAGTGTAGTTGACACAATAATTACATACTGTTTTATTGAGTGGAGTAACATGATATGAGTAGAAATATATTTCGGCAGTTTGATAATTTTCTTGGAAGTTGATAAATGTTAGGCTATCAACCTTGACGTTGCATGAAACGTGACTTAATTGCAGATGTTGTAATGAAGCCGAGGTGATTTCTAAGACCCTGTTTACATGGAGTGGGGGACCCCAGTTTAGTGGGGTAGGTTTCTTTTGTTTTGTGTCCCCCAGAGCATGAAAACAAAAGAAACCAACCCCACTAGACCGGGGTCCCCCACTCCATGTAAACAGGCCCTTAAAATCGTTTGAGAAAATTTTGTTGTAAACAATTAGCGTTTTTTTTTTTACGTACGAATTGTAAAAGGGTCAAAGACCAACATCTTCACGTGCAAATTTTGTGCATGAGTTATTTTTATAATTCTGTTTACTACATTACTGTGTGATAACTTGAATTCCCTCACGTACGAACCACGAAAGAGGGCAAAGTCCAACACTTTCATGTGCCAGCTGTGTGACTGCACATCTCATGCAGATCAGTCAGAGGCGGATCCAGTTGAGGGGTTGAGGGGGTTGCAACCCCCCCTTTGAGAATTTTTTTTTTGTTATTTTGCTTGATTCTTCGTAAAATAATAATAGAATAAAATTGTTTTTACGAAGTTATTTCACTTTTACCATTCGACTGCTTGTCAAGTTATGAAAAGATAATGTACATTTCGCAAAGGTCGTATCAGGTTCAGGTATAACAAGCGACATGAACAGGTGACATTCACTGAAAAGTAGACGAGAGGGATTGAGACCGACCGAATGCTTGAGTATTGTTGAAGCGTGTACAACGTTTGACGGAAAATGAAGAAAATAACAGATTTTTATACAAAGAAATCAGGTACGTTCTTGGTTCTTTTTCAAAAGAAGTATTTTAATTTAATTCTATAACACCAAAAACTGTTTTCAACAGCCCGTATCCTCGACATACCGTGTAATTCATAAACAAAGTGCGTTTTCCATCACGCCGCCATCTTGCCAAATGGCTGGCGAGAAAATCATTCCTTTCAAATATAAACATTTTGCAGATTCAGCGCCTGAAGAATCAAGGTCTGAAAAATCCGCGAGTAATAATGAAGGTATTAACGAAGGTAAGCAGAAATAAAATTTTCATTAAACCGAGGCAGATACATTAAAATTTATCATGATATTAAGACTTAATTAATACTTCTAAATGAACTGTCGTGATAAATACAGAAAGAAGCTGTTCTGCTCTGCCGAACAAGCTACCAAAACTCAGCAACCCAGATGATCAAGCTGAAGTGTCCGGGATCAAAGGTAGAAGATTCTTATTTTTATTTATCTGAATGGTAAACTTATATTGACCAGGGGCACCCAACGAGGATATAGTTCAAAACCACTTAACATAGCATTGTTGAACGTATTTTAGTATTCAAACGGTAGATATAGGCATATTTTTATCCCCTAAAAACTTTTCATCTGTTCGGATTTCCTAGCTGAAAGTCTAGTGATCTGAAAATTATAGGTATAAAAACTTACCTTCTCGAAAATTCCAGCCAGGAAAAGGCTCCCGAAAATTCTAGGTGGCCTTTTTTAGGGTCAAAATCCGTTAAAAATGGGTAATTATACCATTTTGTAGATGTTCGAAAATCCTAGGACAGGCAGGTAAGCAAGAAATTTTACAACAAATGTTCCGAAAATTCTAGATCTCAAATCGTCTTCCGAACAGATATTTTCCCGAAAATTGCCGTTGGGTGCCCCTGATTGACCAGTCCGAGAAAAGAGTATTTATTCAAATGATGCAAGAAGTCTGGAGAATTTCAAGTAAAACTGACTAGTATTAATTTCGTTTTGTACACAGCTTTGCCTGATGAAGTATTGGTCGAGGTGTTTAAAAACTTCTCCCTTAAAGAAATGCTTAAAACATTATGCCTGGTCTCACGAAGGTGGCGGCACATTGTAAACAATAACAACATTCTGTGGAGTTGCCTCCTTCTTGATGAGTGGCACATAAGATATTTAAGTGAAGAACAATTTATTAACATCATGTCACACTCCAGTGGGTTCAAATATTTATCCATAAGATATATCGAAATGACAACATCAGAAATGAGGCTGGTAGCATTACTAGGAAATAGTCTAGAATTTTCTAAACATTTGAGATATTTGGATTTAAGTGGACAACCGATATCATCCCTTAATTTCCTATTGATTGAGTCCTCTCCTCTTGAAACCTTGATCCTTAATGACTGTCAAAAAATAGATACCTGTTGTTGTACTGCTATTTTAAAGCAATTAAGAAATCTTAGAATATTATCTCTCAACCGAGTAGGATTCACTGCAAATCAAGTGACAACAATTACTGCCTCTTCATGCTTACTAAGTGTTCTGTGCCTGGTTGGTGTAAGCTGATTTTGCAAAAATCGAATCACCTTCAGTTTTTTGAAATATCTTGCAGTTCTGAAGATGAAGAACATATCTATGCTCTAGGGGAAGAATATGACGTTAGTTTTGTTTGCCGCTAAGAGTAAAAATATGTTATATAATATGGTGGCATAACAGTGTTGTGTTATAGAAAATAGTTTATTATAACATTTACTGAAGGTCTAACCAAGACATTTTGTATGAGACCTGTAGAGTAAAATATCAGCAGGCTATGGTATTTTTTAATTTGTGTGTATGACAACTTCAAATATTGTCAATTGAAATTTTGTCAAATAAAAAGTATGTGTGTTCAATTTTATTGAGGTTATTTGAAGTAGGTAAGGGACTAACATATTAAGGGTTATGAATGTATACAAATAATTGTTTTTATAAATTTTAGATGTAGGTACAAAAGGTCCTGTGGCTGCCACTGCTGGTTCAACCACAGGCACAAAGATCGATTTGGGTACTGTTGTGAAAGCTGCTGAAGGCTCGTGGGATGTTTTGAGGCGATTATCGCACGAAATTACAGATGAAAAAAGAATGCAATACCTTACGTTTCATTGGAAGCCCTCTGAGTCCGATATACTTCATTCTCATCAAGTTACCAAAGGAAAGAAGACGTGGAAAGTTTCTTTTCAATCCAAATGGCTAAAACAGTTTCCCTGGCTTTGCTACGGTAACTTACTCGAAGGTGGTATTTGTAGTCACTGTATCTTATTCCCTCACAAAGTTACCAAGGGAACAACACCAGGTGTATTGGTCACAGCACCATACCAAAAATCGTACACTAAGGCACTTGGCAAGGATGGAATCCTCAACTGTCATGAGCAATCTGTAATGCATAAATACGCAACTGAAAAGGCAGACCTCTTCAAACAAACTTTTCAGAATCCTGACAGGTGTAAAGTAGATTCCCAGCTGGCGACGTCCGTAGCCAATCAAGCCACTGAGAACAAAGAAATTCTACGACAGATAGTTTTGGCTGTAGAGTTTCTGGCAAAGCAGAGTCTGGCCTTTAGAGGTCATCGTGATGATCGTGTTGATTTTTCTAGTTATGAAATTAACAGAGGAAACTTTGTTGCCCTGCTACAATTACTGGCGAAAGGAAACGACTCTCTTCAGAAGCACCTCTTGTCATCAAGCCGACAAGCAAGATATACTAGCAAAACTATCCAGAATGATGTCATTCACGTGTATGCGTCAAAAATTAAGGAAAGGCTGACAGAAGAGCTAGGGACCAAGGACCTTCCTTTCACGATTACAGCAGATGAGTGTACAGATCCACACTCAAACCAGGAGATCTTATCTTTATGCTTGAGATTTGTGGACCAGTCAACGCCAAACGATCCTCATGTCAAAGAATGCCTAATTAGTTTCATGCACTTGGAACGAACAAATGCCACAATGATTTCAAGAAAGATTTTGGAATCTCTCTCTGACCCATCTATTTCTTTGGATCCTAGCAACATCCGTGGTCAGGCATATGATGGAGCTTCCGTTATGTCAAGTGGAAAGGAAGGAGTGCAGGCGAAGATAAAAGAGACCAGTCCGTTAGCTCTTTACACGCATTGCTATGCTCACTGCCTGAACCTCTCCATCGCAGCAACATGCAAACTGTCAGAAGTGCGAAATTTGATAGGCCTGATTAAGAAGGCATATCTATTTTTAAATAACAGCCCAAAGCGGCAGCAGCTGTTCAAGTTGACACTGAAAGAATACCTGCCTGAGAATTCTCACAGCAAACTTCCAGGTCTTTGCAAGACACGCTGGGTGGAAAGACACACGTGCCTAGATGTTTTCCTGGAAATGTATGAGCTTCTTGTCACCTTTCTAGATGCAGTTATTTTCCCCCACGAGTACCCACATTTGAAATCGTCTACTGGAAGCTGGAATTGGGACAAAGATACTATCACAAAAGCCCAGGGACTGAAAGCCTCTTTGTTGTCATTCCAGACTGTAGAGGTTTTCATTACAACCAAGAATATTCTTGATGAAGTCAAAGCTCTTGCATCAAAGCTGCAGAAACAAGATCAAGATATTTTTGAAGCTTACACGATGGTTGACGAAGTAATTGGAAACATCAAGTCTGCTAGAAAAAACATTGACATTGACTTTCAAGTCTGGTACAAAGAAATGTTAGACCTTTCTGAGAAACTAGGAATCGTTGAAGCTATACCCAGAAAGACTAGCATACAGAGGAATCGCTCAAACATTCCCAGTTCTAGTCCAATTGATCACTACAAAAAATCTGTGGCTATTCCGTTCTTGGTTCCCTGATTATTCAAATGCAAGACCGATTTTCTGACGAGGATCGCCACGCCCGTCACTTGCTTTATCTAGTACCCTCAATCATAGTTAATAACACCCAGGAACTATCTGAAGCAGCAAAAGGCATGTTGTTCTGGGAGAATGATCTTCCATTTCCCAAATCCCTTGGAAATGAGCTGAGAAGATGGCAAACGATGTGGCAGTCAGCAGAGAAGGAACTGCCAAACAATCTTCTATTAGCACTTGGTGCGTGTGACGAGGATACTTTTCCAAACACCCATCGTCTTCTTCTAATTGCATGCACCCTACCAATCAGTAGTGCGGAAGCTGAGCGGTCCTTTTCACTCATGAAACGGATCAAGACCTGCACCAGATCAACGATGTCTGAAGAGCGCTTCTCAGATCTCACTGTGATCGCCATGCATTACCCAGAGAGATTCGAAGTAGACGAGATCTGCGATGCTTTTGTAAAAGCTCATCCTAGAAGACTATTTCAGGCTACGCTGTTTGATTGAGGTACGTTGAGGTACAAATAACTATTGTTGATACTGCTGTCTCTTTCAATCATGCATTATTATTTTTGGGTTTCTGAATGAGAAATAAGGTAAATTCCAGATTTTATATCATGCCTTTACAACGCTTTTCAAGTCTCAGGAATTCTGCAAATGGCATTTTAGCGAGGGGAAAATCGTAAACATTATTTTTTGGGGGGAGGGGTATGGCTCTGGACCCCCTCAAGAGATCGCGCCAGAGGCAGGGGCCGTCACTTGCCTTCCACACCATTGGTGTGCTAGGCTACTGCGGTAGTGTACAACCCCCCCCTTTCAGAAATTCCTGGATCTGCCCCTGTGATCTTTTCACAATAATAATAGTAACTTAAACGTATGAAGACCTGTTTCGTTTTGTAACCAATGCCTCAAAAAAGGCTCTTGTCTTTTAAGAAGCAATAGCTTTTAAAACATGAAGAAATAAGTTGTCGGAGTTAAAGACTCTTTCACTGAGTAGAATCGCACGTGAAAACCTCGTGAATTATGATGATGCAACCATCTACCACAATGTTAAAAATCCTGGTATTTCGTCAGTGAACTATTCGGTATTCAATGAGACATTTTGGCTTAAGAAACTCCGAGGAAACCTTAGAGTTCTCCTTCTAATCAACCTTTGGTGAGTAGATATTTATTTTACTTTAGCAATTTGTTGAACTTGCACCAGATGTATCAGGAAAAGACAGAAGAAACTGAATATATAGCATGAGGATCGACTCAGCTGAGCGTTTCGCGTTTTCATTTATGTACCGCAATACCCAATTTCGCACAAAAACCCAGTCTACATTTAGGACGAAAAAAGGTAGATTCATCACTCTTGGTAAGGTTACACTGAAGCATTAAAGCTACACTGAAGCGTTCAAAATAGCTCATGCACGTTTAACGTGCCTATGTTTCGCTTTGTACGCAATCGCATCTACAACTTACCCGTTTCTCTTTTCCACTTTAACGATCACTCGGTGAAAACGATTGCCTTCATGAATGTGCTCGTGATCCATTTTACACATGCTTCCCTTCTCGCAGATGTATAAAGCGCCATGAACCGCGGAACCTTCGTCTGGGGTGATACCGCGAAGCACTGCGCTCTCGCGAGAAGTGAATTTTGCTCCACGTTCTTTCATTTTTCTTTCACTTAGATTTGATGCAAAAGCAAAATGCAGCTCCTTCCCTTCCATATTGTCAGGGGCACCCAACGACGGTTTCCTCCCAAATTCATTTAGGCACTTTTTAGGCTATCCAGAGTATTTTTAGATCTCTAGAAATGCATTCTAAGGGACGCTATAAAATTTGTATCTGTTCGGTCATCCTAGGGGAACTTGAGCCTTTTCGAAATTACGAGGGCTTTAGTATTATTTTCCCGAAAATTTTAGATGCAATTTAGCGCATTACGAAAAAGAATTTTTTTTTTTTATTCTTCTCTCCATCACATTTTTGAATCCGAAAATTTTAGGTTTCGTTTTTCCGACGAAAAATAGTCTAACCTGGGGTGTGGAATGTGAAAAATCAAACTTCAGAAAATCGTAGGGAATTTATTAGATAAGCTTGGAAAATTGTACATGAATGGGACGGTCATCTAGAAATTTTTAGCCTTCTTCAAGCTATAGAAAATTCTAGGCAATTTTTGCTTCTCCGAACAGATATTTTACAGAAAACAGTCATTGGGTGCCCCTGTTTTAAGCGCCATGAACCGCGGAACCTTCGTCTTGGGTGATATTAGCGTAACCAAAACCATCATCTTTCCAGTTGGTGTTGAAGACAAAGCGATATCCGCGAAGCACTGCGCTCTCGCGAGAAGTGAATTTTGCTCCACGTTCTTTCATTTTTCTTTCACTTAGATTTGATGCAAAAGCAAAATACAGCTCTTTCCTTTCCATATTGTCATAGTGTAGGATACCACAGGTAGACCACGTTGCAATTTTTCCTCACGTTATTTGCCTCTATTTGATAAGGGACGGACTATTGGAAAAGTGATGGGGGCGGGGAGGTGGGGAAGAAACAAAAAAAAAATCAAGCAAGGGAAAATGTCCACCACAAAAATTCATTCAAAGTGAAACCCAAAGGAAAAAAAATTATGGAAAGGACGGGCCCGCTATTTCATTGAAACCAGAATGATTCCCTGTTTGACAGAGACTTTTCTTGCGCGGTTTCCGATTTCTGTCATGTCTTCATTCATAGTGCCACGTGCGAAAAGAGTTTTTTTTCTCGCGGCTCTGCCGCTCGTAGCTTCGGTCTTTGGCCGACACGAAAGATTCCCGCCGCACGCAAGAACAAAAAACCTCTGGTACCCATGCAGGGTACCAGAATGACAACATCTTTTGGTGGAAGGGGGAAAGCCTCTGCCTAAGCAGGAGAAGACAAGACAAAATTAGAAATTGATTAATAACTCTTTCGAAAACAAAGTATATTACGATATGTGACTTTACAGATTATAAACACAGACGAGTTTTTAGCTCCGATATTTTCGAAGAAGACATGAAAAACTCAGCGACTTTTTTTTTTTAATAGATCTACATCAGACATTTTTGAAGCCTTTCACTAGCAGGCTACAATGCTTTTCAAGTCTACAGTTAGTCAACTAGCTGCACCTAATGTTGTAAACTTGGTAAAACATTATTTGCTGCACGTTCACTCAACTGCACTATGCAGTTCACATTTATAAATCACCCCTTTCCACAACATACTCATGCAGTGTTCACTTGGACTTTTTACTTCGGCGGAGCGCGAAGTAAAGGATTCGCGACGCTCAGGAATGTATCAAAGTTGCAATTTTTTGACAAGATTGGGCAAGCAAAGTCTGTACGTTTTCGGTTATATTCGGCTATTTGACGAAGTGAGAGCCGAATTAGTTCGAGAGATCTCGAGATCACTTCGATTTCTTTGATTTATTCTTTAACTTTTTCGAGGAAGAAAGAATTATTATTTTGGCTTTCCCGGGTTTGAACCGACTCACCTGTGTGACCCGTCAGATCAGAGAAGACTCTAAGTTGAGGGATTAGCCGATTGCGCTACCGCGACTCAAGGTAGTTTGGGATATGAAAAATAGTTATGAAATGATGCACTAGTTTCGGGACAAGACTGGGCGTGCAAGTTCGTGACTTTTCGGCTTGTTTCAACTATTTCACGAAATGAGACCGGACTACTTCGTGATATCTTGAGATCACTTCGAGTTTAGTCTTTAATTACTCGAGGAATAAATAGAGGATATTTCATGGCCGCGCAGAGACACGAAATTTCTCTTCGAGTGTTGATAAACATTTCACGAGTGAGCCCTCCTTTCGAACTGTTTTATGATGAATTTAAAGTTACAAAATGCTGCACAAAGACATTTTGTCTTTGTTGAGTGTTACTAGTACGATTGCTTTCATGCGTTGCGTGACTTTCTCGAACGTTCTCTACGTTTTTGGATTATTCATGAATATTTAATTAGGGCATGTTTACATTTCAGCATGAGCCAGCAGATTTGCATCAGTTACTGAAATCATAAAATATGTCGAAAAGCTACTACTATTCGCCTGTTTGGTATTTTCTAGAACCTTATGTCAAACGGTACACAAGTTCCAAGCGAGTTCTTTTGACGAACTAAGCCTTTTCCCACGAGCTGGACTGCTGTGTTTAGTCAAGTGTGACGAAGGTCGATTTTCAGGTTCTGTGTTTACAAGGTCGCCGAAGCCGTAAGATATCTGAAGTTCAAGTGACAGTTTGTTATTATTGGTAGAGGCTGTTTAGTTTTACTCAAAGTTCAAGTCAAGTTTGTGTTGGCGGATGCTGTGTTTTAAAGCTCTGTAAAGGCTATGTTCCTTTGGTGTTAAACTTCCTTGTGTTAATCCGACATCCCTGCGTGCTGATAGTCAGTGAATAATTATCCTCAAAACATTCGAACTCGTGACTTTGAGTTTTAGCCAATTCCATGCTCAACGTAATTGACTCCTTACCCATGCTTTACATATCTTTAATCAGTACATGAGACTACTATGCTGTTTTTGAAGCCTGATGTGACTAAGAAAAATAGAGAATTGTTTTTTTAGAAGGATTTGTATGGAGCCATCAGAGCATAACTGGGCTATAGGTGGTTTTCACGCAATCTCAGGAGACACAAATAACAATGGTGAAATGAACAAATGCTGGTGGACAAACAAAGCGAGCTAATGAGCGATCTTTTGTTTACCGTCCACCAGCATGGTGGCGATGACGTAACGTGAAAACCACCTATTAGTTTTTGGCAAGTAGGCCTCTTGGATGTTGCTCTTTTCAGAATATCCTGACAAATCCCATAATTTCAAAAATTAACACCTTACTCTTACCATATTTGATTTCTTGCTATTCCTCCGCATTTACAATTAATTAGTTCCACAAACACGACGCCGAAGTGTACGCTCCGTAGCGTCTTGTTTTGCTGGGAGTCAACGTCATTCCGCAATATTTTCATATTTTCCTATGTTGTTATCATTTCTCAAATTTAAAATGCTCATAAATCACTCGTCAGATAAAAATAACTACAGTATAACGGTATAGTCAGTTGTATAAAGCTGTAGTTTCTGGATACCAGCGTTTCTATCAAGACATTGCACAAAATCAAAATTCATAGATTCCCTAGTCCCATAAGAGCAAAAAGAAGGCGCCATGCCGTCTGGGACAGTCGCTGTGTATTTTCACATGACGTCACTAAATATTCAAACTACAAAACTATCGATCCTACTGAGATTTTACTTTCATGGTGTATTAGAGCAGCTGAAAACTAATTTTCAAACAAATTTTCGATTCAAAAGGGTTTTTGCTTTTGTAATAGAGTACGCTCAATTTCTAAGCATTTGCGTGACGCATCATTTACATGACGTTCAAAAGAGCTCTCATTTAGGATAAAAAAGTGACTTTTTTCGAGGAATTTTGCTATCTAAACAGTTCAAGTGTTAGAAAAAGTGTTACTTTAATGTTTATGAGTTCGTCTAGGAGTAAATTCACGCTTTTGTAGCAAAACTCGGTAACAGATGTTTCTGTTAGTTTCCGTCCGCCATGTTGGAGCTCATCCGGATGAGCTCCAGCATGGCGTCTCCATACAAAGCTCTATAAATTTGGGTAAAACATTTCCTCGGATATCTCGTATACGAGTTATTCCTTCGACCCAAATCTTGGCGAGGGTCTTCGTATTTTTACCTCCTTTCATTTCCCAGATTCTGGACTTTATCTGTCGAATAGTTTTGATTTTTGTTTTGATCTATTTTGGATGGCGTGACACTGAAAACCAGTAATATCAGTTATAAAAATATTATTATTATGAATCATAACAGTAAACTTGAATGGTAAAAGTCGAGATGAAAATTTACGACATAGTTTTTTTGGTGAGTATTTCTCAGTATGTATATAATAAAAACTAACATCAAAGCCAGGACTTCGAGCCAGGACTCCAGTTGGAACTTTTCTAATTTTTTTTGTAACCAAAAAGAAAATAAATTAAAATCATAAATACACAAATAAAACCTAACCCTAGCCCTAACCTAACCTAACCCTCCAAAATCCTCCTCTTAGGCCCTGTTTTCAAGTAGGAGGGACGGTAACCCTGTTGCTAGGGTTACCCTACCACTCGCACATTTCTTCTTTTTTTAGTTGACGTGTTTACAAGACAGGCAGTACAGGTAGGGTTACCCCGAGCGCTAGGGTAACCCTACCTGGATGCTAGGGTTACCCTAGCAAGAGGGTTACCTTTCCTGCCTTGTAAACGCTCTGCTAGGGAAAAGTCGCCTAACCGGGATAACTTTTCTCCGTCATGCGTGACCAAAATCTTGACAATTTGAACGGAGTTACATATATTCAATTTCTGAGCTAAATTATAAACATCTGAACAACATAAGGTATTTTCTGCATACGATGATGATATTTTCTCGTGTTTTTGGAATTTAACGTGTTTTCCATAGGGGACTTCAAGTCTTATTTCAAATCTTGGACGTTACAAAGAATGTCACGCATGACGAAACACGTGAGTAAAGCTGGTAAAGTTGACCCAGGTGATAGGGTTACCCTACTTGTAAAATTTGCTTGTAAAGAAGAGCTAACTTTAACCCGCCTGCTAGGGTAACCCTAGCACAAGTAGCACAAGGATAGCCCATCTCCTTCTAAACAGGCCCTTAATGGTCATGTGACTTGCAGGAGGTGAGAATAGCGGGAAAGCGAAAAATTCTAGAGTCCTGGCTCGGTATATAGGCATCCTCCGCATATCACGAAGCATATCCGGCAGTGTTCGGAGAAAAACAGGAAGTATCAGACCAACTTCCTCAGTGGAAGAGTCCATCAATAACGCTGTGAGATATGCCCGGCAGAAATGCCCGACAGTCAGATCAGTTTCTGACACTTTCCGCAAAATCCCTTTTTCTTATTGTTTGAAAGTAATCTATCTTCATTTAGAATAACCAAGCGATCACTGAAATGGTTGTCTGGAAGCACTTACGTCACTTTTGTTGACGTAATTTGATCAAAATGAAACTGGAAACTAAAGAAAGGGAAAAATCCCATGTGTTTAATTTCGTCTTGGTAGAAGGGTTGATTTTTGTTTATAGGTAAGTTTTGTGCAAGGCCGGTTATTTTGTGAAGGAAAATGCATTTGACTTTTACACTGACTTGCTTTGCAAAATATGATTTCCTCGTAGACATTTTCGTCGTGACAAATCAAGCGAACTATCAAGACTACTCGAGAACTTATAACTGAGGTAGGCATTGCATTAGCTAAAGTTATACTAGAACTCGGGTGTTACGAAAACTAAGACCCTCGAAAACTAAGACCTAAGACCTAAGACCCATCTTAGTTTTCGAGATTACGAAAACTAAGACCCCCTAAAATCGAATCTGTCGAAATATGAAGTCAAATTGTAACCGAAATAGGTCT